AAAAATGTAGAAAAGCATTTTCAATACTTATAGTAATTTGATAGATGCCTTAAAAGAATGGAAGTTTGATACCCAGCACTAGTGAACAGTCAATTTTGTGTCATTTTTACTAGACACTGTACTACCCTAGGGTCCTGCATGCTGATGAGAATTAGGCAGAGTACTTACAGCTGGGTTGAGAGCGCACAGGTTGTCAGGATGAAGGAAAAAAAAAAAAAAGGCAGCAGTCCGAGTAGACGGGTCCAGGATGCAGGAACCAAACCACAGAGAAGAAGACCAGAGAAAGAAATTAGTAGTAGTAGTAGTAGTAGTAGTAGTAGTAGTGTAATTTCACCTCTGCCCATCTGCTGGCAGATGTTACCTCTTGGTAGACTAAAGCATAACTGAACTAATGTACATAAAGACAACATTTCAATGCAGCTCACTGATTACTGGACACAGTGAAAACATATCAAACATCAACAGATATAAAACCAATCCACTATGAATCTGGAGAACAGGTTTCCGTCTTTTACAGGTGATCCCACCACATCCACTAGAGGCAGGTCCAATCAACATACTTTTATGAGTTCAATGAAACAGTTTCATACAATAAAGAGAATGCATTTAAAAATTCATATCAAACAAAGGTATGTTTTGCTGTACAACTCATTTTTCGATTTTGCTGCTTTTTAGATTTTTTTTCTTGTGAAAACTGATCAATTTATCTCCCCATTAAAGATTATTCAAAACAATCTGAAGAGGGCCAATCCCTCATTGAACTTCTCACAGCTCAAAGACATATGCAACCGTTAATGAGGGATCACAGTGTAGGTTTGATGTGTTACAGGTAAAAAGGTTGGAAGCCAGCCATGTAGACCATCACTTTGTAACTGAATTCATGACAGAAGGCTAGAGCTGAGTATCAGATGTCGATATAAAAAGAAACTAGTTTAAGATCAGCATGATATTTCTAATATTCAGATGCCCTATCTGCACAAATTCTGACTCACGACCAAACGTTGTACTGAGAGAAGATACTCACATTTTCTGACCACAAAATAAATGGAAAGGTAAACTCATTCACTAATTAAAATGACTATTTTTCTGGACAAGATCAGATTACTTTTAATTCTGCATCTGGATTATTGTTAATTCCATCAGAAGAGTCTAAGAGGATTCAGAAAATACCTTCAGCATTTGGGTGAGCATTATGAAACAGTCAGCAAGTCTCAATTTCACCAACATACGTCTTACATAATTCAGAAGTAGTATCACTAATGTTATGTCATTTGGTTTTGATGAAGCACAATCATCAGCATAATTCACCAACATTTTATCTAAAAAGATCTCAATTATTGATAGTGGCATTAAAGTCTGGCATTACAGTTATAATGGCTGATTTGTGTGAAGAGTAATTCAAACATGCAAGAGAGTTTTCATAAACATATCCACTGTATCACCACATCTAACCCTGTATCTGAAGGAACCCCTAAAAAACAGACTGTCTGAGCCTGACTTTAGAAAGGCTTTAGTGAAAGCCACTGACTATTACCCCATCACATAACTAGAGTATGTGCATCAATAAAGTCAGGCCTACAGCAGAGTAACTGCACAGTATAATCAAGCAGTTATTTCCCCTGTGTTTATAGGAACTGTCACTAGTTAATCTGAGCGCTTAACATGATGCATCCTTCACTCATCACTCTGGTATCACTGTAACTACGTACACATACACACATTTCTGACAGACTACCGGCCTACTGGTTTACATCTCTGGGCCCTTTCCTCATTGCACCTTGGAGACAGATGACAGCAAACAGCGGACCAGTCAAGCATTCAGCCTGAAACAATGTGCAAACGTCTGCAAGCATAAATCAAATCAAAATTTATTTATATAGCACTTTAAAACCAACATCTGGTTGACAAAGGTACTTCACAAGGGCAAGGTAAGAACTAAAGTGGCTGTGGCTCACGAGGTAGGGCAGTCATCTCCTGACCAGCAAGTTCGACTCCCAGTCTCCCCGCATGCCTAAGTGTCCCTGAGCAAGACACTGAACCCCGAATTGCTCCCGGTGGCTTGTCTAGCGCTGGTGCATGGCAGCCTGTCGTGAATGTTGTGTGTGAATGGTGTACGATCTTCTGTAAAGCGCTTTGGCCAGTGCAACACACTGTGAGAAAGCACTATATAAAATACAGTCCATTTACCATTTAAAGTAATTAGGATCAATACAGGAATAAAAACATAGAAACAAAACACAAATTACACAGATTCAATAGTTAAAAGAAGGAAGCATCAGACAACACTATGTATTAAAAGCCAAAGCAGATAAATACGTTTTAACCAATGATTTCAACGTTATCAAGTCTGTAGATGATCTAAGATTGGGAGGTAAACTATTTCACAATTTAGGAGCTGCAATAGTAAAAGCGCACCCCAGCATTTGTACATGTTAAAAGACAAGCAGCAACATTTTGCACCATAACGCACTCTCTAATGTGAAGGACAGACGTAATACACAGACACTAATGGCAGGACTTTTAAAAATGACTGGTCTCGATTGCACTGAAAATGACCTTTGTGCATCGCTGTACTTTCACATGCAAGAACATTTTTAGCAGCAATTTTGCTTCTACATTCTGATGCTTTGTGCCCAAGGTGCCATTACTCTCTACAGGACATGTCACGTACAATGATATGGGCTGGAACTTCTCAGACTGTAACCTTATATGCACACAAATTATTTGCACACTGTGCATGAGATTTCAGTTACAGGTCAGCAGTCTTCTTGGTTCTACACTGTCATCACAGAACAGAGCAGAGGCACCTTGTTTAATAATCATCATCATCATCATCATCACCTTTATTTGGCCCAGTATGTTACACACAAGGAATTTGTTTCTGGTACAGAACCGATGGCAGCCATCTGCGGCACCAACTCAAGTGATGGCTCTAACCATCGGGGGCAACTTGGGGGTTCAGTGTCTTGCCCAAGGACACTTTGACATGTGGACTGCAGGCACATGTGGAAGTGTTCTTGCGGCCATTAGCATTGCACTACACAAATTTAATGTACAAGGTAAGCAAGAAGATGGTTTACAACTTTCTGACACTGAGAGGGCATTAAAAATAACAATGCACGGCTTTTGTTTTGTTTTGTTTTTAAGTATTAGTCATGAAATAGCGAAGGTACTATTGTCAAAGGGGGAACAAGTTCTATTTTCTTAAACAGAACCAATATCTGTGTGTTCATCTTAAGCTCCGGGTCAGTGCCACTGACAAATGAAATCACTGCAGGAAAGCAATGCGACAGTGACAGGCAGAAAAATGCACAACAAACTGTGCTGTTTGTTAAACTAACGGAAACAATGTGGTGAGTGTACAGGAAGCTAGGGTTACAACGAGGCACCACCTGCCCAGAGGAGGGACTATGAATTGACAGCAGTGAGGATACCAACACCATCTGACAAACCCTTTCCCACAACCTTAGGAGAGCTCAGACATGACATGCATCATCCCACACTGCTTCCAGGCTCCTCTGCTGATAAAATTCAGCTGCTTTCACTCTACATCTGGAGATGTCCCAAAATAGGCCTTCCCCCTCTCGTGGGAACGGAGAGTTTCAAAGAGATGACAAGTTTACAGCAAATTCCTATGCTAAGTTTAAGCATTGCTACTGTATAACACAAAATGTTAAAAGGATATTCCATGATTTCAAGCATCTTTTCTGCTACAAATTTACAGTCTCCAGGATGATTGAAGATGACCTTCCTCAACTTCAACTTCATAAGGGTTATTCCTTCAGGCTTTAACCACAGGCATAAACTTGAAGAAAAGCAATAATTTCAGATTTATCTGCAATCTGCCATTCCCTGCGGGTAGGGGTGAGTTTTGATGTGGCTGTGTCATGGTGAACAATGTGTTTGTCCTGCCATTGAGAGCTTTAGACATGTTAATAAAAATATTAATGAGTATTCAAGTCTATTACCACCGTACACTATGTACGTTTATCGCATGACCTGTGCACTCTCAATCACACCTACAGACCTACCCTGTATACAATATCTTCATCACGTGCAAGGTGTTTTTAACAGAGGTTTCTTAGCATCTCACTCCCTATAGTTTTATTACTACAGCATTATCTGACTAGAGAGGCGCAAAGATTGTAAAGATCGAATGCCACTCTTGTTTTAGTAACATAAGCTGAATCTGAGTGATGTCACTCTTGATCATTGCTACACAGCTGCTATTCTAGTGCCTTATTGCACAAATAAATGACATGTCACTTGTGTTCCTTTGGCAG